GGATTAGTGCCCTCAGAAAAGATGCCCCAAAGGGATCCCTCACCACGTCTGCCATGTGAGGACACAGGGAGAAAACGGACCTCTATGAACCAGGAAGCAGGCCCTCACCAGACACAAAATCTGCCAGGGCTGTTATCTTAGACTTCCCAGGCTGCAGAAGCGTGAGAAAGAAGTATCTGCTGTTTATAAACCACCCAGTCTATGGACTTTGTTATAGCAGCCTGAATTAACTAAAATGTACAATTAGACAACACGGTCTACAGGGTCTAATTTCTAGTCACATTAAGGATGCCACAAGGTTCCTACCCATAGCTCCTACGTTCCACATGACGTTGATAGAGTGATGTCTCCTCCCTGATCCACATTCTCATCGTCACTAATATAGCCATTCATTCACACTCCCCTGGCTTACTAAAAGTTAAATTTGATACCTTACAGCACAGGGCCTGATACTTAGTAAATGTTTGACAACATACGTTTAGTAATTATATAGAGGGCACAGAGGGGGGAAGTTTACTTAAGATAACCCAGTCACTCCTTCCTCCCCACAGGACATCCACAATGCCTCTTCCTCCCCCATACGATGGCTAGTGTCAGCCCAAGAATAAAATGCCTGAACCGAGAGACCATCAACTCAGGAGTAAGCATGGTTACCAGTTATAGCTGCCAATGCCCTCCAATTTCCTTTATTGTTTCAAAGAATGTGACCCAAAGATCCACGTATGAGTTATAAGCACACAGTAATCAGCTCACAGTCCTGTCTCTTCTGCTCTGAATACACGGACTTCCTCTAGGGAAGATTCTTAGAATCAGTTCAATTTTTAACTAAGTCTGTGTTTTAACTTGTAGCTTAACATTATTAACTAAGTTAAAGAGTAGGTGATTTACTTATCAAGTACAAGCTACATTAGTCTTTGGAAATAATTTTAAACTCAGAACACATTTGCAAGAGTAGCGCAAATAACCTTTTATTCTCTGAATTATTGAGAGTAGGTTGTCAGCATGTTCCAACACCTCACATACTTTAATAACAAGAATAATCACATTTCAATCCTCAAAATCAGGAAACTAACACTAATACCTACCACCTCATCCTCAGACCTCATTCAAGTTTCACCCATTTTCTAAATAATTTCCTTTACAGAAAAATGATTTAATCCAGGATCCTGCATTGTAATTTGCTATTTCTTCAGTCTCCTTCAACCTGGGACACTTTCTTAGTTTTCTTGACTTGCATGATCATGACATGTTTGAAGATCACAAGTCATTTATTAAAAAAAAATTTTTTTTAACTGAGAAAGAGCATGAGCAGGTGAGGGGCAGAGAGAGGGAGACAGAACCTGAAGCAGGCTCCAGGCTGTCTGCACAGAGCCCAGCATGGGGCTGAAACTCACGAACCACAAGCTCCTGACCTGAGCTGAAGTTGGACATTTAACCAACTGAGCAACCCAGTCGTGCCACAAGTCATTTTTTAACGTTTATTTATTATTGAGAGACAGGGAGACACAGAGCATGAGCAGGGGAGGGGCCAAGAGATGGAGAGACACAGAATCCGAAGCAGGCTCCAGGCTGAGCTGTCAGCACAGAGCCTGAGGCAGGGCTCAAACTCACAAACCACGAGATCATGACCTGAGCCAAAGTCAGATGCTTAACCGACTGAGCCACCCAGGCGCCCCACAAGTCATTTATTTTAAAGAGTGTGCCTCAACATGGGTTTGATGTTCCTCTCTGCTTTGACTCAGGTTATGCATTTTTGGCTGTATCCTCACTGCATCCTATTAGATGGTACACAAATTAAATACTATCGAATGACACTAATTGTCGGTATTACTTATGTTAACTTTAATCGCTTGACTAGGCTGGCTGAGCCAACTTTTTCTACTGTAACCACACTTCTGTTTCGCCAGCTGTCATACTTTGCCAATAGTATATGCTGGCGGGTTGCAAGGGTGGAGGGAAGAGGGACATGCTTCCTCCTGTTTCCTGTGGGCTTCCCCTCTACGTCCTGTGCTGTCAGCACCTTACCAATGCTTCTTCACCCAGTCAGGTGTAATGTCCTCTGAGGACAAGGTGCTGAATTCACTTTTACAGTGTTTCCCCATCAGAAGTACCAACGTCAGGCAGCCAATATGGGTCCCAGACCTGTGAGGCCATTCCTCTGGACTCAGATACCCCCAGCAGTGGAACAGGTTCCTTTGGAGTTCTGCACTTCAACCCTGAGGGACGCCTACCCTGTTCCCTTCATTTTACCAGCCTAGAGCTTGAAGCTGCTGCCTGCAGTTGCTATCCTAGGGATACATTTGACTCTTATTTTCCCCTTTCAGATTCTTCTTCATATCTCAGGGTTCCCCATATACCCTTTCAGATCCCTAGACAACTATACACCAAGTTAACAATTCCTTGTATCATGTTGTTTCTGTTCAAATCGCTGCTGTGGTTTCTCTCTTCTGACAACGCTGATAATGTCTCACTGGAATTTAACCTTGGGAAGATTAGCTTAGAACTTCTGTTGTATTCACTGTTGTACAACGCCTTCTACATAGTGACTAATATTTATTGAATCAACAAGTGCTCGGCTGTATTTACAGAAATGTGTTTCTTACTGTGGGTTGAGGATGCAGCTGTAGTCCACATAAACACAAAGTGTCCAAAGTAGTATTGTTCATAACAATGAAAAATTAGAAACAAGATGCCTTTCAACAGAATGAAGTTATTTTAATAGAACGGAGCATAAGATGCTAAAAAGAACAAAAGCTGCATATATAAACATGGTCATAACTCAAAACCATTTTGCTGGTTTTAATAAATGGTGTTCAAGGCACAGTGTGGAAGATGACAAGATGTTACCAGAACCACCGAAATTCACAATGAGTTTATACACAGTGGCAAAAAGCAGAGAGTGAACAGCAGTGAAATCTTCAGTGTAGGGAAGGAGGGTGGTGTCCTGTGGTCGGTCCATCTAGATTATGGACCAGCAGTAGACATGACAAGAACGGGGACAAGAACGCAGGGCCTAGAAATGCAATAGCCACACCAAAGGGTGTCTATACAAAAAATGGGGTTTCAAATCAGTGAAGTAAGGGCAAATGAATGAACAACTGAAAGATCCATTGGCTAGTCATTTGCAAAAAAAAAAAAAAGTTGGATTTTTAGTTCACACCATATTTAATCAACAACACAGAGGTCAATAGATTATTCTGTTTATTCTAAACACATTTGTTTCATATATTTTAAAGACAAACCTGACAAAACACAAAGCTCTAAAAAGAATCTTCTTGTATCAACTTAAGAAGCAGAAATACACTTCATACTATGGAATGACTATTTTATCTCTAATGTTCAAGTTCTAAACATAACTGCCTTTGGCTCTAATAACAGAAAACATCAACCCAAACTGTTCACTATCTGTGAGGTAGATAATAAAATTGAAGCAGAAAGATTAAATCACTACACAGGTCACTCAAATAGTAAGTGACAGGCATAGAACAGTTTGCAGAAACCATGCATAATTCTAGGGTGGAAACGTGGCAGCCTACCACAAAAAAATACAAATGCAGAGAGTTCTGTGCTCACATTAATATCTGCACTTTGCACTTAAACTTACATAAACATACCCTTTAGAAAACACAAAAATGGGGGAAATGTCTTCAATGGGCCCTGCTTTCAATCCATACAGTGTACAAAGTACTAATGTTCAAGGCCACCTTTGAAAATTAACTCATGTGTATCATAAACAACTGTGTGCTGAATCGTTGCAGATTTCAAATAAATCTTGACTTTATTAAATGTTGTGGGTGATTTACTAAAACGACAGTTTCTTCACAATGTCTATATGGAGTTATATATGCCACCAAAAAGCAGAAAACACATATGACATTCACGCATTCAATGTTCCTTTTAAAATTCATATATGTTGTGGTGTAAATATGTGATGGGACAACAATAGTATTTAGTGTCAGAAATCCTAGTGTACGTTACAAAAGTTACTTAGATAAGGGTGCAATGCTCCTACTGTAACTACTGTGAGTACAAAACAAGTATCAAGGATACAGAAAACAGCTGTTAAAGAGCACTGTCATGTGCAAGCCTGACCTAGCACAGACGCTACTCATATACATTTAATGCCGCTGCTCTGACTCAACTCACTCGCGCCTTTCTCAAAGCGATGTGTTCCTTGATGAGCAAGACCATTAAATAAACATTCTGTGTCATATTATTTGTAAGTTATTTAATACTGCATCCGAAACATCGCTTCTAGAATAAGATCATTTCTAGGTAAGGATGTTTTTCTCGTTTCCTAAACTGACAATTTTCTTTTGTTACGTATTCTGATATATAAATCTTGAAATGTTTTTCATGTTGTTAGCTTTATTCTACTCTCAATTATCTACTGGACAATCAGACTGTGAAAATTTTCCTACATTCATTTTTGGGGTTTTCCACTGTAAGTTTCTGATTTATAAAATGTTTGGCTTGTTGATAAAGGTTTATTAAAATGCAGGATATTGAGAGCGGTTTCTCCCCTAATGAATTCTCTGACCTACAGTGCTTCTCATACCTTCATTAGATTCACAGGATAGATGGGATAAAGCATGGCTAGCATACACTATGACAACAGAAAGCTCTAAACATGTAATGGCTGAAAAAAAATAATTATTTCTCGTCTATGACAAGACTTATGAAGTGCTGTTAGTGAAGGCAAAACTCTGCCCAGGACCCTGGTTTCTTCCAACTTAAGAATCTGTAATCTCTAGTGACTAGCTTCCACGTTGTCCTGAGGATATCTCCATTACCCCCTGATAAGGAAAGAAAAACGAAAGTAGGAAAAATTCCAAATGAGGTCTTTTACAGGCTTGGAATTTGTGCCCATATTGTGAGTCACAGGTCATGTGGCCTCATGTGTATGGAAGACAGGCTAGCAAATCTGGACTAGTTGTGTAACCATAAAGAAAGAGAAATGGGTATTGGGAAAAACATAGCACATTTCTGCTATAGGGTTCCTACCCTACGTGAATTCCTTGATGATTTGTAAGGGCTGATTTCCGCCCGAAAGCTTTTCCACATTCACAACATTTATAAGGTTTCTCTCCTGAGTGAGTTCTCAGATGGGTAGTGAGGGTAGATTTATGACGGAAACTCTTCCCACATTCATTACATTCATAGGGCTTTTCCCCTGTGTGAGTCCTCTGATGATTAATAAGAGTCGACTTTGTAAGAAAAGATTTCTCACATTCAATACACTGAAAGGGTTTCTCTCCTGTGTGAGTTCTCCGATGTACGTTGAAAGCTGAGAGATGACGGTAAGTTTTGCCACACACATTACAATGAAAGGGTCTATCTCCCGTGTGAGTTCTCTGATGTTGAGTGAGGGCTGACCTCTGGCAGAAAGTTCTCCTACACTCCTGGCATTCATAGGGTTTTTCTCCCGTGTGAGTTCTCTCATGTCGAGTTAGGGATGACTTCTCGTAAAAAGATTTCCCACATTCGTTACATTTATAAGGTTTCTCTCCTGTGTGAATTCTCTGATGTGCATTGACATCGGACTGTCGATAGAAAGTTTTACCACATTCATTACACTGAAAGGGCTTCTCTCCTGTGTGAGTTCTCTGATGTACGTTAACTTCTGACTGCCGGTAGAAAGTTTTACCACATTCATTACATTGAAAGCGCTTCTCTCCCGTGTGAGTTCTCTGATGCACGTTAACGTCCGCCTGCCGATAGAAAGTTTTACCACACTGATGACATTGAAAGGGTTTCTCTCCTGTGTGAATTCTCTGATGTGCATTAACGTCTGACTGCCGGTAGAAAGTTTTTCCACATTCATTACATCGAAAGCGTTTCTCTCCTGTGTGAGTTCTCTGATGAACATTAACGTCTGCCTGCCTATGGAAAGATTTACCACATTTGTTACATTGAAAGGGTTTCTCTCCTGTGTGAGTTCTCTGATGTGCATGCACGTCTGACTGCCAATAGAAAGTTTTACCACACTGATTACACTGAAAGCGTTTCTCTCCTGTGTGAATTCGCTGATGTGCATTAACATCTGACTGCCGATAGAAAGTTTTACCACACTTGTTACAGTGAAAGGGTTTCTCTCCTGTGTGAGTTCTCTGATGTAGCTTAATGTCTGATTGCCAATGGAAAGTTTTACCACATTCGTTACATTGAAAGCGTTTCTCCCCTGTGTGCATCCTCTGATGTCTCTTTATGTCTGACTGCCGACAGAAAGTTTTACTGTCTTCATTACACTGAAAGCGTTTCTCTCCTGTAGGAGTTCTCTGATGTTGAGCGAAGGTGAAAGTTTTCCCACTTTCATTACATTCATGGGGCTTCCCCCTCGTGTATGTTCTCTCATGTAGAATGAGGGATGACTTCTTGTAAAAGGACCTCCCACATTCACTACATTTATAAAGTTTCTCCCCTGTATGTGTCCTCCAATGGTGTGTGAGAACTGATTTGTGACTGGTCTTCCTACGTGAATTAAGTTGATAGCGTTTCTCTCCTGTGTGTGTTCTCTGATGCGCTGTGAGATTTGACTTGTAGTTGAATGTTTGCCCACATTCATTACATTTGAATAGACACTCACCGCTCTGGCTTTTCTGAACTTGAGTGAAGTGTGACATCTTACTGAAATTATTTTCCATTTGATTGCTTTTGGATTGTTTTATTTCTGTGTAGACCGCATGACATTTCAACAGAGATGGTATCTCACAGGTTTCCCCATGTTCCTTATATTCACAGAGTTTCTCTCCTATGTCATTTTGCCTGTGTGGAATTATTATGGTCTTTTCTCCTAAGGGTTTTCCATCATCATTATATTTTAAAGTCTCCTCTGAAGTCTGAGTATTTAGGTGCTGAATAATACCATTTTTATGGCCAAAGGTTTTCTCATTCTGATTATTTTCACAAGAAATCTCTTGAGCATGAGGTTTTTCCTGCTTAATATCAAGTAATTTCTCATATACATTTAAAATGCCATATTTTTTTCTTGAAGAATTTCTATTACTACCAATTGATATTAAAATATTTTTCAAACTCACTCCATGTAAGTCGTATTTACAGGACATTTTTCTTGAAGGAACAAAGTTTGCACTCATATTAGATGGTTTTCTTAAAGCATGAACTTTTTCTGAGGCCAGTGTTTTGTTCTTAAATGCAACTTGTGGCAAATATTTGTCTTGGTTTTCCTGGATTCTCTCTGTTAGGTAATGAGCTTTGTTGTCTTCTAGAAATGAAAATATTGAACAGACCATAAGATTTCACAGTTCTAATGGAACTGGATTAAGATACAAATGTCCTATTATATACTTGACTTTTGGTTTTGGTAGTCTCTTAGGATCAAAGTGCCTTTTTTCCCATCTAGTTCAAGAAAACTTAAGTGGAAAAAGGGAGAAAAGCTATTAACACAAGGACATATAATTATTTAGCCCTTTATAAATAAAACATTTAAAACAGAAATGAAGATATAAATGCAATTAGCAGTGTACAGAAGATGGAAGATTCTATACGAGTGACAGATTCAGTAGGAGAAAAGTCACAGAAAATAAGATGGGTCCAACCGAGCTAATAAAAAGTAATTGGAGTGACAAGAAAAACCAGTAGACAAAGGTGTTCAGAGGGAAAACATGAGACATCAAGGAGAGAAACTACAGAGTAGACCTCATACTCTCAAACCTATATTGTTCTAGTAACATCTAAACAAGTTTTCATTCTTCCAGCTGAAGTTTCCTCCTATGCATTAATAGCAAGGTAAATTGCTGAATGAGCCAACTGGCTGATGTTTAAGTAGAGTCACTAAATTGCATTATAACTCCCCTCCCAACTATGATTCACAGGAATACCAACAACCAACAGAAAGTATAAAACAATGACATTAAGTAATCTTGTGCCAATATAGATCGGATGTATCACCCTGTTTTGGCTCTGATACCTTCATATCGCTCTACTGGAGCTATTCAATAGGTGAACCTACCATGATACATTTATGTTCACTTGCTTTTCCTTGAAACAACACTGCTTGTGCCAAAATACTAATACTTAATTTTGCTTTACAGTTCACAGCTCACATTTCCACATTTCTATTTATTATCAAAATTTAAGGATCATATTTTTTCAACCAAATCCCAGAAAATGAGTAATGTTTACGTTGATTTATCATTTTAAAAAGTATTGTCCACATTTTCTGCCCAGTGCAACAAAGTCTGCCCCGAGCTGAAAAAAGTGCCACTGGCCTGAAGCATGTACTACATGGAAAACTGTTACAAGTCACCATTCAGACAAACAAAATTTACACCAACTAAATGCACATCAGATTTTTGTTGTTGTTGTTAATGTTTATTCCTTTTTGAGAGAGACGGTGTGAGTAGGGGCGTGGCAGAGAGAGGGGGACAGAGGATCCGAAGCAGGCTCTGAGCTGACAGCAGCAGGCCCGATGCATGGCTCGAAGTCATGAACTGTGAGATCATGACCTGAGCCAAAGTTGGAAGCTTAACCAATTGAGCCACCCAGGTGCCCCCTGCACATCAGATTTTCAAGCTGCCATTCTACAACTCCCCAGTCAATATCCTTTGCTCCAGTTTAGTCAGTTGTCTCATTAAAGTACTCATTCGTGACTACAAGGTCAAAGTGTGTTCCCTCACTCAGAGCCAAGGCTAGGATATAGTCAATTTAGTATCTAGAAAAAAAGACAAAATAGCACTATTTTTCCAAAATTTCAAGAATTCCTTTTCAAATCTTCTTCAAGACTTTCAAAATTTATCCTAAATCTAAAAGTAGTTCCTACGTAGATCAACTGTTTTAACACAACAATACCACTGCTTTGTAACATACTGTATCTCACCTAATACGATACACATATATTTAAGTTCTAAACTCAGAATGCATGTTATAATTGATCACATATCTGTGATCAACAAGTCACAATATAATATTTTACCTTAGTGATTCATTCACATAATGGTCCAGTTACAAACTATGGCTTCTTAGATTTGAGGGAATACAACAAATTTTTCTTAAGTAAACACTGAATTTAAAATGTTTCACGTAATTTAATCCTCATTTTTCCATCCAGAGGATGGCAAACTTCCTTAGAAGGCAAAACAGTACACATTTTAGGCTTTGCAGGCCATACCTGCCTTTCACAACATCGAGTTCTGCTATTTGTACATGAAATTCGCCAAAGATCATATATAAACAAATGAATATGGTTGTGTTGCAAAAAAAACACTTTTATTTACAATAACATGAAGTAGGTTTGCAGACCATAGTTTATAACCACTGCTCATAACAAGTGCTGTTAACTCTCTGATTTCCTTTGAACCTGAGTAATCTTAAATTAATAGACTTCAACAACCTGTGCGTATCAGTATTACCTGGAGAATTTTTTCAAACACAAATGTTTCGACACTATGCCTTTTTATACCCGATGAATCAGAACTATAGGTTCATGCAAGTAATCAGAATGAGTTCCCTCACGATGTTTTCAGAATATGAAATTTTTCTTCTACTTGATTCCAATCAACACGTGCTTATCAAATGTCTATTTCAGGTTGTATACCAAAGTAAGAAAGAGTACCATGATTGCCATTTTCTGTAATATCATTCATCAGGTGTGAAAAAAGATAGATACAATAAGGAAACATCATGATTTTGCTTTTGTTTCTTGTGAAAGACCCACTGCATGCTGGACACTCTGAGAAAGAAGAGATTACATTGGCTCAAACATTCAAGGTCTGTTTCTTGGAAGCCGATACACTTAACCTATACTATTATAGGTTATGATACTATTATAGGTTATTTTTTTATTATAACATATACTATAATATTATATTATTCAACATAATAACAATAAAAATGTTTTATTTATATACTAAACACTGTTCTGAGGACTTTTCATTCATTAGCTCATTTAGTATTCAGTCAGAGAAAGCACACAATGAAGAAAGGTGTGAATGATTAGAGTATGTTTAAGTGATATTTGATGAGGGGATCAAATGGTGTTTAGCATGAGTGTAAGCAAGATAAAAATAAGATTGCAGCAGGCAAATAAGGCCATAATGGAGTATGGCAAGTGTGGCCATAATGCATAATGCAAAAGGCAAGTTAATTTAAATTTCATTAAATAAATAATAGGGGTAACACAGATTTACTTTGTCTTTTTTACTACTGAAAGAAAAGACGTTCTAAGGCAAACAAAACCACCACCATCAACAACAAAAAAACCTCTCACCAACTACAATTAGGAACTAGAATAAAGCAAAGTATGAGGGAATGTAGTTCTACCTGATATTGATGTAAAGTAAGAACATGAGAAATATTAGAAGTTTACAAGGAAGAAATACAAATGCAAAAGAAAAAGAATTAGTTTGTCTTCTGAGCTTCATAATTTTGTTACTGATTTCTGGTTTTATCAGACTACAACTAAGGAACGTCCTATTTCTACTTTGTAGGATTTACTGAGGGTTTCATTTTAGCAATGTTCTTCCGGCACATAATCGGTCTTTTTCCCATTGTTTTTAGGTACAAAGATATAATCTTGTAAAATAACAATGGCTGTGCTTTTGTTACAGTAGTTAATCTAATACAAGCTTGTAATCCCATTAATTTATTGCCTATTTATTTAAATAGTATCAAGTACTACATGTAGCAGTGAAAATATTATTTCCTCCCTCCTCCTCAAGAACCAAATTTTAGATTTTACTACCTTTCTAAGTTTTAGCTTTGTGCTATTAAACACACACAAAAAACCCTTTATCATTTTACTCGTCTGCATAAACGATACCCTTGGACCCGGAGCTTTGAATAATCAGAAAACCAGCATACAGTCATTCTCAGGCATTACCCTTTTCGCTTTCAATTTTATCATATACATATCCTTTCTCTACTTGAAAAGTAGATGCCACTAAGAGATTCTTAGAAAACATTTGAAATGTCCAACTCCTAAACTGACCACTTAGATTGTAATCTCTCCTGGCTTCCTCACTAACCTTCCTGGTACTCACTAACTCACCTGGGTAGTTCTGGTACAGAAATTCTTCCTTTACTATCCATGGCTCTTCCCCTTCCTCCAATCTGAAGATCACCTCTGGCTTGTTAATGAGAAACCCTGTAAAAGGAAAAATGACACAGAATTTGGGCAAAGCTGCATGGGTACAGCAATTCTAAAGGAGGGAGGAGGTATACTTTCAGGAGGTGGACCACGATGAGGCTCATTTAAACCTTTCATGGGATGTGAAAATACAAATATTCTTCCTCGTGCTCAAAAGAGATTAACCACCTCAGACTCCTGAAGCAAAAGTCCCAACAATATTAACCACAAAAGACCAAATGTTTTGGTATCTAAGAAATAAAACGCGTGCTATACAAAGTTCGGCGTGCAAATTGCTTACCCAATGAGACAAAGTTGTGGTAGTTCTCCAGCATCACGTCCCTGTACAGGGTCCTCTGAGCAGGGTTCAGGCACTGCCACTCCTCCCAGGAGAAGTCCACAGTCACATCCCCAAATGACAGTGACCCCTGAAACAGCACATTTTTGCTCAGTCTGAAGTGGTCAGAATTAGAGTAGCACAGGAAAGAAACATGGGAACTAATTCTTGTCAGGTTCATTGTTGAGTATCTGTTACAATATGCCTACCGTGTACATTACTTTGGGTTAGGTTTTGTACAAGAAAGAAAAATGAAACAACATCATGCTTGTTTTACTTTATTAATAGCCTATGCCTTGAAATGTTCTGGGTGTCATAAATACTAAAAAAAATAAAACACTGTTCTTTTTCTCTAGAAAGTTAAATATTATACAAACATGACATAGCCCAAAACTGAAAATAAGGTTATTACTAGAATGTATTAGAATATGTAAAAAGTATACTGGAGTCAAAAATTTAACTATTTTGTGTCACAGCTTATGCTTAATTAAAGAGTTAGAGATGCAGGGCTTGAAACATGATGGATAAATGTTCTTTATGATTACGAAGCAACACAGTATACATAAAATACTGAAAGTATTAAAAACATGGGTTGACTTCAGCTTCTACCCCAGGATATATAAACCAAATAAGAAAACCACTCATTCCTACGATGAAAATGAGCCAGACTAACTTCAAATTCACAACTTTTTTCCCCCCTAACTTACAGGAGAGCCAAGGTCACAAAGCACCCAAGTATCCCAAATCTAGGAAGAGACAAAATGTATGTTTTTGCCTGAGGTGCACCACAGGTAAGAACTCAACCAGAATAGGGGCACATTTATTAATGAAGACTGAGTGTGAATTGACACGACAGTATGAAACCCCTTCAGACCACAGACGTTGAGACTTGCCCCTTCTTACCAGCTTCGTCTCTGCAAACCCCACTGGGCACTTACACTACTCCTGGGGGAAGGGCAGGATTATGCACTGAGTCTCCAAGTACAGCTGGGGTTTGGGGTGGGGCAAGAGAACCAAGAAGGCCACGGCCACAAGGTCAGACCTAACACTCACGGCCACAAGGTCAGACCTAACACTGAGGCTGTATTGGAGAAAGAGGACACATTCTGTCAACAACTTCTCACCACCAAGCTAACAAGCGTGGCGTAACAAGTATCAATAGAATATTGCTGATAGATGGACAGGAGATAAATAAATACATGGAACGAGACTGTCTCTGAGACAGAAAGCAAAGAGAACCCTTAAAACTCAGAAATGAACAGACATACCTGTAAAGAAACCCGTATCCTAAAACACAAGGTGTCTCTATAGAAACTTGAAGCCTGTGATGTATTGTGAGTAATAGCAGAAACAGTAGCCCTCACATGCTGCCCAACTCCTAACAGTTAAACAAACCCCTGGGCTAAAGGCCTAGCAGGAAAGTCATGCCCAGATTCCAGGAATCTAGTTACCTCAGTTTAGAGTCTGACCCAAGATATACGCATTTCAAAACATATTTACAAAGCATACGAAAAGAAACTACCAAGATACTACTAAGATACAAAGTAACCATCAGAACCAGAGTCACATATGACAGAGATGTTGAAACTACCTAAGAAGATTTTACTTATAACTAATATGTTTCAGACTCTAATAGAAAAGATTATATGCAAAATCAAATGGATAATTTCAGCAGAGAGAACTAAATGGAAATCTAGAAATAAAAATATAGTAACAGACGAAAAATAAGCTTCAACAGGCTGAACGACAGTTAACACCGGTAAGGAAAGAATAAACGAATTTGAAAATGGGTCAATAGAAATTATCCAACTAAAACTGAAAGAGAAGAAAAATATGAAAAACAGAAAACAAAACATTGGAAAGCTGTGAAATATAATAACATGTTCTGACATATGCATAATTGGGACCTGGGGGGTGGGGTCAAGAATGGAACAGAAAAACACTTTAAGAAATAGTGTCTTAAAGTTTATTTATTTTGAAAGAGACAGAAACAGCATGAGTGGGGGAAGAGCAGAGAGAAGGGGAGAGAGAATCCCAAGGAAGCCCTGCACCATCAGCATGGAGCCCAATGGGGCTCGAACTCACGGAACTGTGAGATCATGACCTGAGCAAAATCAAGAGCTGAACACTTAATCGACGGAGACACCCAGGCAACCCCAAGAAATAGTGTCTTAAAATTTCTCCCAATTAATGACAGAAAACAAACTTAAGATCCAAGGAGCTCAACAATACCAAGTAGCATAAATGCCTCCCAAAAGCATAACAATGCACAACATATTAAAACCGCTAAAGAGAGAGAGAAGAATGAGAATCCTAAGTGCAGCCAGCGAACAAAGAAACATTACAGACAAGGAATAAAGACAATTTCACCAGGAGCCATAAAAACTAGAACACAACAAAGTGACATGCCTAATGTGTTAGAAGAAAATCACTGTTATTATAATCCCAGCATAAAAGCAGTCATTTGAAAAGCACCTGGGGGTATACATGAAAATTTATTGACTAATTTTAGGATGTGTGCAGGAAGGGTGGGGATCTGCAGAAGCTTTTTCCAAAAATGAGGAAGCTAGAAGGCACTATTTTTCTTTGCCCTCCCAGAGCCTGGCCAGACATTTATACAAGCCAGTACAAACACTCTGCATCTACGCTTCTACCACAATGTACCCCACCCAGTGCTCCTCTAAAAGACCTACTCCATCAACCCACCCAGGAGGGTGCTTCTCCAAAACCCCTCCCAGCCCACCCACCTGGCAGGCAGCCCCGGTGAGGAAAGTGCCTCTCCAAAGTGACTCAAGCCCTGGGGAGGTGGGGAGCTAACCGCATACACCAACGCACCTACAGCTCAAGCAGCTGAGACTCTCAGTTGGCCGTGCAGGGAGCTGTGATCAGTGCACTTGTCCCGCTGCTATACCCACAGCTCAAGAAGCTGACTAGTTGGTCGCGTGTGGGGATGGTAGATCAGTACCCAAGCTGTCCCAGCAGCTAAATGCAGACAACCAGGCTGAGTACTGGCTCAACCTGTGAGCAAGCTGGCATGGTGCAGCTAAGCCTCTTGGCTAGACAGGGAGAAAGATTCCCACCCCAGTGGTGTGTATGCAGCAGTGCAAAAAGCTGGAATATTGCCAGAGTAATGAACAGAGTGCACCTATCGGGGCATGCTCACAGCAATCACAGCTCAGCAATAATAGGACACCCTTGAAGCATCAGTTCTAGTGACCAGAGGGACTGCACAACAGGTGGTGCTGAACCCCCTATCTACACACACGTCGCCACTAATATATACATACATACATACAGAAAACAGAGAGAGGTAGACAAAATGAGGAGACAGAGGAATATGTTCCAAATCAATAAAAGAACACAGGGGCAGTTGGTAATTCAGCCTGGGCAGAACTGACTGGCTCAGGCTCAAGATCTCACGGTTTGTGAGTTCAAGTTCGTCAGGTGGCTCCCCAGCTGATTGCAGCTCAGAGCCTGGAGCCTGCTTCAGGTTCTGTGTCTACTTCTCTCTCTGCCCCTCCCCTGCTCATGCTTTGTGTCTCTCTGCCTCTCAAAAAATGAATAAACATTAAAAATAAAATTTGAGGGGCGCCTGGGTGGCTCAGTCGGTTGAGCGACCGACTTCGGCTCAGGTCATGATCTCGCGGTCCGTGAGTTCGAGCCCCGCGTCGGGCTCTGTGCTGACGGCTCAGAGCCTGCAGCCTGTTTCAGATTCTGTGTCTCCCTCTCTCTGACCCTCCCCTGTTCATGCTCTGTCTCTCCCTGTCTCAAAAATAAATAAAATGTTAAAAAAAAAATTTTTTTTTTTAAAATAAAATTTGAAAGAACAAGACAAAACAACAGAAAAAGAGCTAACTGAAATAAACATAAGCCAATGTGCCACATATGGTTCAAGGTAATGGTCATAAAGATACCAAACTTGAGAGAAGAGTGAATAAAGTAACCAAAACTTCAACAATGAAATATAAAATGTGAAAAGGAACCACTCAGCTGAATAGAATAACTGAAATTTAAAATACATTAGAATACTTCTTCAACAATAGATTAGAGGACGCAGAAGAATGGATCAGCAACCCTGAAGACAGTTAACAGAAGCAACCAAGCCAAACAGCAAAAATAAAAAAGTGTAAGAAAAAATTGAGGGTAAGTTAAAAGAGCTCTGTGACATCATCAAGCCAAGTAACATTCATACTATAGAGGTACCCAAAAAAAGAGAGAGACAAGGAAGCAGAAAAATTATTTGAAGAAGTAATAGTTGAAAACCTCCGGAATCTGGAGAAGGAAAAAGACACCTAGGTCCAGGATGCACAGAGAGCCCCAAACAAGATGAAGTCAAGGAGGCCCACACTGAGACACACAATTGACACAAATCAGATAAAAGATAGTCTTTTTTTTTTTAATTTTTTTTTTTACTGTTTATTTTTTATTTTTGAGACAGAGACAGAGCATGAACAGGGGAGGGGCAGAGAGAGAGAGGAGACACAGAATCTGAAATGGGCTCCAGGCTCTGAGCTGTCAGAACAGAGCCCGACGTGGGGCTCGAACCCACGAACTGTGAGATCATGACCTGAGCCGCAGTCGGACGCTTAACCGACTGAGCCACCCAGGCGCCCCTGGATAGTCTTAAAAGCAGCAAGAGAAAAGCAGTTACACATAACAAAAACCCCATAAGGCTATCACTGATTTTTCAGCAGAAACTTTACAGGCCAGAAGAGACTGGTATGATGTAGTCAAAGTGCTGTAAAGAAAAAAACCTACAAAAAAGAATATTCTACCCAGAAACACTATCACTTAGAATTGAAGAGATAAAGAGTTTTCAAAAGAAAACAAAGTTAAAAGAGTTCATCACCACTAAACCAGCTTCAAAAGAAATTTTAAAGGAACTCTTTGAAGTGGAGACAAAAGGTCACAAGTAGAAGTAGGAAAATTAAGAAAGAAAAATATTTCACTAGTAAAAGCAAACATATAGTAAAGGTAGTAGATTAGTTACTTATAAAGTCACTATGGAAGTTAAAATGCAAAAATAGTAAAATCAATTATATCTACAAAAATTACTCAAGTGATACACAAAATAAAAAGGTATGTCACATCACATAGGTAAAACACTGAAGAGGAA